TACTTATTATTTATATAATTTATATGGCCACTATCCTCACAATTGTAATTCTAAATGATGAGTATGGAGTTAAAACCAAAGAACAATATAACACAATAAATTAATAAACAAACAAATCCTTAGCAAACAAACATCCCAAATAACAATGTAACATACATAAGGGCCCAAAACCATTCATTTTTCAATCAATAAAGACAAGAACAAGATAGAGGAAACTACTAATAGAACACAAAAGCAAAAGTTCACTAGACTTCCTTCTAAGACTTATTTAGCCAACTAGCAAATGTCTATGTGGCAAATCGGTTTAAAAGAATGTTATACTTCAGCAAAACTCACACTGCGACTCTTCTACGTCCATGTTTTGCATTTCTGCATTCAAATCATCCAGTCCTGTTTTTCCATTTCTTTCCACTTCATTATGAGCTGGTGACAGAGGAAAAGTTATCTGTCTATCTACAGCTGCTTCTGGGGAACAAATACATAGGGGAAAAAAAACATTTTTAGATTTTTTTTTAAATAGCACAATCTTTTTTTGGAGCATAGTTTTATTACTTAACATGTTGTAGATGTGCTATGCAAATATTTTTAAATATTTTAAAACAATCATGAATCTTGAAACAACTAGAACTGAAACCCTTGGAATTCCTTGGCTTTTGAGTGGTACATCAAGACCTACACGCTAAGAATGAAGCAGGGCAACGATAAAAATTAAAATAGATTTAATTACTATGTGGCTCAATACTTAGTAAAGTATGAAATCCGAGAAATGGGAATCGCCACATTATCTTCAAATCTTTAAGTTTCACAACATTCTTAATATGTAAATACCATCAAGACAAATATATCTTATCTGTAAAATGGTAATAAAATGAAAATGAAAACGAAAAAGGACTATTTGAAAATAGGACTGAAATGAATTTCTGCAACATAAAGAAAAAGTATCAAAATCAAAATGAGCATTTATTGCATTCCCGATTCTTAAAACAAACAAAAATATCTATTGAAGGAGATACTACCTCATCTTGACATGCAGTGATACCTACTGCTTTATGAACTGTTTACCACAGAACACTGTTCACCCATTATATTTGATTTCATTTTACCTTACATTAACATTTTCAATACTTTTATTTGCTCAAACTACTGATGGTTTAATAATGTCATTTTGAAATGTGTAAATATTATTCAAAGCAAATTGTTCACTTATTTTCTTACCATTTACTTTCCCTAAGCCAGGAGCTTTATTTTTCAATAAAGTCACTTGAATCTGTGGAATGTTTGTGATACTTGAATTCAAAACAAATTTGAAATTCACATGTCCAACCATACAAGCTTTGGGCAAAACCAGTTCAAAGACATGTTCATCCCAGCTGTTGCTACAAAGAAAAAAGATAGAGAAAGAAAATAAGTTATTATGTTCAATGAGATAAAGGGCTCCAATTTATTTTTTATCTGTACAATAAGAAAATATAAATGTTTACAACTTTCCCATTTCTCTATTTCAGTGTGATCCTAATTTTTAAATCTACTTAATTCAGTAATTTAAGCTGCATTTCATTTTTAAGTAGAAATACCTTTAGGAATGCATATAACATTTTGAATTTGCACTGATTTTGATTAAAAATGCCTCATTTCAAGTGTTACACAGCATGCTTAACTGTAAAATGGTCTGATCATTTTGCAAGTGCTAAAAAAGTATCTTAAACTCAGAATACTTCTAAAATGAAAAGCAATATGCTGGCATACATAACAGGACATTTTGAATTGAAACTGTTCAAATTTGAATTGTTTGTACACCTCTAGGAGACTGTTCTTCTACATAGATGTTAGCCCTGTAGGCTACCTGAAAATTCTTGATTTAAAACCCGTTTATACAACGTATCAACTTCCAGTCTTTATATAATATAATATAATACAAATATAATATAATACAAATGACAGCTAGTTTATTCTAGTGGCTAAGGCACCAGACTAGAAACCAGGAAATTATGAGTTCTAGTCCCGCCTTAGGCATGAAAGCTTGCTGGGTGACTTTGGTCTATTTTCAGTCCAACTCATCTCACAGGATCGTTGTTGTGGGGAAAACTGAAGAAAGAAAGAGTATTAGGCATGTTCGCAAGTGTGAGTTACTTATAAAAATAATAAAGCAGGGATAAAAAATAATAACTATAAAATATAAAATCCCTACTAGGGAATTCCATTTATAACTCAAAATATCAGGTGATTCAATGTTTAAATAAAATAGGGAGGTAAATGTTCTATCAAAAACAATTTACCTGTCAGTTTGCAATTTCCAAGTCCGTGTATGTTGAGCTGCATCCCCATGATGCTGCTGGTGCAAGTGTTGTGGATGTCGCCTTTGCTGCTGTTCTTGTTGCACTTCAACCCAGCATGGTGGAACTGTAGCTGAAAATCGTGGTGTCAAAGTTTCAAAACGAGTAAGCTCTACTAAAGACGTCAAAGTTTCAAGTGAGAATGGCTGGTCCACTAGAAGATCAACTCCTGTTTTTTAATTAGAAAGTAAAATCACTTTTCAAAACATTTAATCACACAAAAAAAATCAGTAGCCCCCACAAGAAGCTACAGCACTTTTTTAAATATTTAATTTGTCCTTTGGTTCAGCTACACTAACACTAAACACACACACATATTTCATGGCAGCATGTTTTCATGCATGTTATGTTACAGAGCCTCTAGTTGGCATTTAGGAGTAAAACCGGTTAGCCATCTGCTGCTGGAGAAAAACAATCTATGAACATTCTGGTTCAGGTTTCCATATACACTTTAGTTGGGAAAACACATATCTGCAAAAGTAACACACATAAAAATAGATGAGACTTCTTGCAGGATGCAGACACAATATAATAAAAAAGTATACTGCTTATTTACAACTTTAAAATGGTACTGTATCGTATTTCTTCAATTCAATAGTATACTTTTGGAAATATGAATATAAGATTAAATATTTACCTGTAATACCTGGACTTGAAGGATTAGATAAAGGCTTTGTGCCTTCTGTTAATTGCTCCGTCACTTTAGACAGAGATGCATCCACAAGAATATCAGCTTCATCAACATCATCACAAGTTCCTCCAATCTGGAGAAAATGAAGTTCTCCACCTAAAAGAAAGGGTTGAGAATTTAAATGGAAGCCCAGAACAGTCCAAATTAAGAACATGCATGCACATACTCATTTTGACAAAAAGCTTCAATGGACTGTATTCTTGGATGAGATAGGTTTACTTCAAATTTGGTTTTGAGTCTGGTGTATGGGACATTAACATTTCCTGATGGGTTAATCTTTCTTAAGAACATGGAGAAATGTGATCTTCTGACTCCCCTGGGTCAAGAATTGCTGTTCATTTCCTTGGACGTTCATTCCTTCAGGTTAGCAGATGTTTGTTTTTCTCCTAATCTACTTAATATCTATATAAAACATTAGGAGAGCTATGCAGAAGTACATTCTGAGATATCAACAAGAGATGACACATAGTTCCACTGATATTTTCTAATAATTTCAGGAAGAGGAACTGCCTTCTGCACCTGATCTGAGAACACGTAGGGCAGAAAAAACCCAGGAGCAGCAAAGGTCAGCCCGATTACTCACAAAGAGGCAGCTTCACCCCTTGTGATGGGCTGTACAAGATGTTGGCTATTTAGCACAGGGCTTTTCAACCAGTGGTACGGGTACCACCTGTGGTACATTGGCACCTGGCAGGTGGTATGCGACCATCCTAGAAAAGTGGTAGTGGGGGAGGGGAATGAGCCGAACTGGTGGCAGCACCGCACAAGCTTGAGCGAGAGATGGCTGGAGCTGCAGGGCTGTCAGGGCTCAGTGGAAGCACCAAGATCAGTGCCAGGCTCCAGCTGGAGCTCGGCGCTGATCCTGGCGCTTCTGCTGAGCCCAGAAGAAGCCCCGATCAGCTGGAATGTTGCAGCCTCTGCAGGGTCTTGTGATTTACATTCAGATGCTTGGCAACTGATTCATATTTAAGACGATCACAGTGTCCCAGGGTCATGTGAAGTGACCAAAACCTGCTGCAACCACCCAGATGAGGGGAATAAAAACCAAACACCCCACCCCATCCCCGGACGGTTAGGAGTTGTCTTTACGAGTGTTGTTACTTTTGGAGCCTGTCCTCCTTCTCGTGACGACCCACCCGTCCGTCCACAGAACGAGCCGACACCGAACCCCCCGTGAAAAAGTCACAGTAACATTGAAGCTTGTCAGTGATTCGCTTGACAACATTCAACTCCTGATGGACATGAAGTAGTGTTTTTTTGGGGGGGGGGTCAAGTTTTTGACACCTTGCTAGGCGACTGGTGGTACTCGGATGTTGCCATATCCTAAAAGTGGTACAATGGGTGAAAAGGTTGAAAAGCCCTGATTTAGCACACCAGACAGATGGAGGCAATGCTGGGTTGTGTTCACTTCCTAGCTGTGTGTTTCCTGCTTGTTATGGTCCCTGCCTTGCTTTGAATTAACACCATGCATTGACTTAGATCATACCTTGTGAACTCTGGACTTTTCTTGCCTTGTGACCCCTCTTGTCTTGTGGATTTAATTTTGCCTGGTGGTTTATCTTATTTGGGAAACGTTCAAGTATCTTGTGAACTCATTGGCCATTGCTCTGTGGACTAGTGTTGGTCTGCTTTCGGCGGGACTTAATTGCGACAGTTCTGAGTTTTTGGTGGAGGGAATTGCTGAGGAATATTTATAAACCCACTAAACCACCATTATGTGGTGAGTGGGACAGCACAAAAACCCTATGATGGTGTATGAATAATGAGCTCGATACTGGAAAAATTCAAAAAGTTATTACTGACATTAGATTGGATCTGGCTGATATACTGGATTGGAACAAAATAATTAATTTGAGACTTAAAGGTATCAGGAAAGGAAAAAATAGAAAATACTAATTTAATTGGAGATCTTATCTCAAACTTGAACAACAGTCTACCAAATTTAAAGCTTTCAGATAGATAAAGAATGCATCCTTAGAATCATCTGAGTCCAATGAAATGCAAAACCCAAGAAATATATAGTAAGAAGATTTGTAAACAGTCAGATAAAAGAAAAATATAGAAAGTGCTTGTGAATTAAAAAAGATAAATTGGGATGAAGATAAAATGTTACACTTTCATAATATTAGTTCTGCCATGTTACAAAGAAGAAAGGCCTTCAAAACTCTAAGAGAAGATTTATTAAAAAGAGAAACAAAATTTAATTGGTCTTTTCTTTCAAGTTAATTGTATTTCAACCACAAGGAAAAGAGATTATTTCTCTGATCCTAAAGATACACTGTGCAATAAATCTAGATAATGCTTCATGAAGAATTAAGAAAGAACAAACTTTGAGGTTTAAAAAACTCATATAATTAAAGTTACAGCTGAAGATTTGACAATGGGATTCTTTAGCTTAGGTTAGGAGACTCAAATGTCTAGCGGCTTCCCTGTTGGAAAATTTGGAATTTGTGGAACAAAAATTTATTCCCTTAAATAAACAGAGGTTGAACTAACTTGGATAAAGTTTGTGGTATATTCCAAGCATTTTTTTCCACAACAGTTAACAATAATAGCCATTATTATTATTATTATTATTATTATTACTGATTCAAAACTAAAACTACATTAAATAATAGGCAATAAAACAGTTTTACTAAAATGGAATTAGTTCAATTGGACATAGAATATTTCTTAGAGGGAGTAAAATAAATGTATTGTGAATACAGAGAAAAATCTGGAAAATTGTTGCCTTCTCAAAGGAAATATTTACATTGGGAACAATGCATACCAATTATAATGAAATTAATTTTCATTTTTGGGGGGGGGATATAGCAGGCAAGCAGATAATTTTTAAAAAATATCTTAAATCTTCCAATAATTGCAGATGTGCGCTCAGGAGAATTGGCTGCATCCTTAATTTTTTAGAAAATCTAGGATATTATTCATAAGATGACATTTGGAAAGGCTCCTGAAAAGGCAGAATAACATTAACATATATTAAAAAAAATAAGGAGAAAGTAGCTCCTATACTCCTGGAGATATAGTTCAGGTATCTTTTAAAAATAAATAGCTTCCTATTATGATGGTTATATTATTGCAACTTTAAAGGTCATTAAGGAGCCTACTCAGTGCTGAAGTTATCACCCAGTATCTCTGACAAATATTGAAGCTAAAATTCTAACACATTGGCAGGACGACTTCAGAAAGATTACCCACAGTAATTCATGGTGTACAGTTTGTTTTCCTGGAACAGCAGGAATTTCAGACAATAATAATACTGATTGATATACTGCATACATATCAACATTAATCTGATGTGGAAAAAGCTTCTGATACATTCTGAATCAAATTTTTGATTTATGTGTTGCCGAAGTTTAGGTTCCTATAGAAATGTATTTTTGGGAATATAATTTATTATTTTAATTTTTTCTACTCATGTTGTTACCAATGGGATTATTTTACCTGTTATTAAAATGTATTTTTATGCACTCTTTATATAAATTCATATAGTTGCCCATCTCAAAATCATACCTCAGGGTGATGAAGGCAGGATTAAAACCAACTGCATGATAATAATAAATAATAAATAAATAATAACAGCAAACTGCAACTAAGGTTTCTCAAACTCAGATTTTATACTGTAACCATAGTCTTGTCATAGAAAATCACAATGACAAGCTCACCCAACTAATACAGTATAGAATTTATTAAAGTTGTCCTTTATTACATTTAATTTTCAATCTGGTGTTGGAACCCTTGGCATCACTTACAAGACAAACTTGTGAAATTAATAGAATATGCTAGCTGAATTTGAAGGCAAGTTATTGCTATATGCACATAACATTCAGGGTTTTTCAATGATGGTCACTGTTCTCTATCTAAATTTGTAGAAGTTGTAAAATTTCATAAAATACAACTAACTGGAGGTCAAATATGGCAAATGGTTACATATTTAATTTTTTGTTTATTGTCCAGTTATTTATTACCTAGAGATTATTTCCAAGGAAATATATAGTTTAGTTGATAAGATTATTTTAAAAATGTAACAAATACCCAGATGAAAACAGATACTAAGACATGAATGCCCTCTAAGTCTGTGGGGAAGAATTTTTGCGGTAAAAATAAACACATTATTATTTTAAACACATTGCTAAATTAATAGTTAATATTTTATGAATGAATTAAATAGCCAGTATTTCTTTGTTAAAATTGTGTTACTCTTATGCATTGCTAAATTAATAGTTAATATTTTATGAATGAATTAAATAGCCAGTATTTCTTTGTTAAAATTGTGTTACTCTTATGACAATAGTAGTTTTTATCTTCCTCATTTTAATCAGTATCATTGGGCTTATTTTTTAACCTCAATTATGTACTGTAATGGACATAAAATTGAATAAGTAAGCATAGCTTGAAAGTATGATTTAGTGCTCTTGCAATTTTGGCAAGTCCTGGGCACTAATGAAAGTAGGAATTTGGTTATATTTCCAGCACTGAAAGCAGTTGTTAAGACAAATCTGGACCCTACTGGGTGGAAAATTTAAATTTGATTTTACTTCTTATGAGAAATTGACTGAAAATGGCTGGTAATAGATTTTTCAAGAAAACATATGCTCATAACAAAACCATTACTTTCAATCAGCATTTTAAAGTTTTAAAGCTGTTGGAAATGGTGCATGCAAACTAAGACACAATGTACTATTAGTAAACGTCTTAAAAAGATTTCAAGAATAAATTTATATACACACACATTTAGAAAAGCAATGATATTAGATACTTGTGTTATTTTGATCTATGCTATTTAAAAATTTTACACATAAAACAAGTTATGCGTTTATTCTGAAATATATAATAATACAAAATAATATTTTAAATTTAAATAAAAGCTTAAAAAAAGAGAGAAATAAATGGGTGTCTATCAGTAGGCTTTTAAAGATCAGGACAAGATAGCTGTGACTGCGAGACTGAAGCCCTTCCAGTCATATATGTGTGTGGAAGTTATGGATGACAGACAAACAAGAGGGCAGAGTTTTGATGAGATGGTCACGGCTACCATTTTGACTTTTCTTTCCCCAGTTGGCACACCAGGATATAAAAAGAGAAACCTGGAAAAATGAAGCATTTTTTAAAAAAACAAATGAAAATCTTACCTCTAGTGCATGCACAGAGTCTATCAGTGCCTGAGCAGTATATTACTGAGACAAATTTGTCTGGTTCTTCAGTACCTTCCTTTTTAGGTGGCTCCACTTTGGCCAGGATTTCAAAGTTTGAAAGATCTAATATTTTAACATAGCCTCCCTGAGTGGTTATTACTAGATGCCCAAGAGCAGAGATTTCCGATCTTTTTTCTCTCTCGCTGCCATTCTTAGAAGTTAATTGTATTTCCTCTGTAGGTTCCTCACAGTCATCTTCTCTATTATCCAATATGTCTGGTGGGAGCAAAATCAATGAGGTAATGGTATCCTGGGGGTCTTTGATATGCTGAATTTTTATAGGTTCCTCTTCTAGAGTCACAATCCTAGTGGCATAGTTCATTTTATAAAGCACTAGATAACCGCCACTAGCACTTCGTTGTTCTGGCTGGATTATTAAGGGCGTCTGTACATCTGCTGGTGACTCATGCTGGATCATACTGATATTTGCACCATTCACTACCGTAAGATTAGGTTCTACTTCTCCTTTCCTTCTATTACATAGTGCCGAGTTTAATTTATTTAAATTATTCAAGGCCTCTACTTGATTTATTGCACTCAGGGATTCAACAGGACACGTCCGCAGTCCTATTAACAAATGAACTCCATCTGCACAAGGAGTGATTGAATCTACACAAAAATTCTCCTCCTCTGCAAACTTTGGCAGTCTTAAGCACTGAACCAAAGTTCCAGGTTTGGGAACCATTGAGTTCCACTTCTCAGAGTCCGGAGAAGTTAAGCTGGCTGTTGCGTCTGCAAACTGCTGAATGTATGTCACAGGAGGATCTTGCAATAGCAATTGCTCCTGACTATCCAGCTCCATCTCTATGATTTGTGGAACAGTAAAACCATCATCATGTAAACTTTTACTCATGATATTGTTCATTTGTGAAAAGATTTTTCCTGCTTTTTCATCAGATTCCTTAATGCTGTAAAGCAGTAATATAGGTGAAGTCCTCCTTACCAGAGGAGAATTCAGTTCTGAATTAGTACAGGATTCATTGTCAGTTGATCCCAGGTCTGATATACTACCAGCTTGAGTCCTGCTTAAATCATCCAGTGATCTCTGAGAATTACTACTAACAGGAGAGGTAGCAGGCGATTTGTATGTTAATAAACCTCCAGCTAACAAACAAGGAAAGGGAATGTTGTGGTGTTCCAGATGCTTTTCCTTCATCTTTTCACTTTTACAGTTAGTTAGGCAAGGGTTTGCCCCAAGTTCTTCTAAATCTTTCACTGTGTCTTCAAGTACATTTGCAACTATTTCCCACTGAAGTTTCTCAGGCTGCTGAAGAATGCTGAGAGCAGTTACATCAAGGCTAACTTCCATGGTTTCCTTTTGTGATGTATGTCCTTAAAGATAAAATATACAGTGTAAAAAACAGATTTTATCCATAGTAGGATTATGTTTTTGTAAACTTTTACATTCATTCATTCATTCATTCATTTTGCACATACACGCAAACCAACATCTAATGATATCTTCAAATATTTCTATTTTATTCAAACCAGGTAATTGTAGCTTGCTACAAAAACATGCTTTGTCATGTGAATGTCTGACCCCTAAAAATTTTACAGAATAAAAGTAATTACCAAGCAGAAAAATGCATTAAAAATATGGTATAAGACATTTGCATAATGTGTTAATATAAGGATCACCACACAAACAGGTATAATTTCTATAGTGATAAAGTGCAATATAAAATATCCAAGGAAGGCCTAAAACAGAAATAAGAGGAGACCTGTGCATATTTTCAGCGTCAGTGGTAGAGATCCTAACCTTGAAAGAAAATGAGGGGCCATCAGAATGATCTATCTTCCACCTCCAAAAAGATTTAAGGGTTGCAAATACATAGTCGTCAGAGAATAGCATGAAGACCTTATTCTCAATCAGCCAGCCCTTAAAAAGGATCTTGATTTGGAGGCTGCCCCTTCTTTGCAGAAAAGATTGCAATTAGGAGCAGAAGGAAAGGATCATAGGGCACACTTTCACAGAACTAATTTCCCTCTGCCCTGTTTCTTTTGTTAAAAGCAGATTTCTTTATTTCTTAATTATAAATCAAAGTATTAAGATGAATAGCAAGGTATGTACTCCTTGCTCTTTATTGACAAAAGCATTGCTAAATAATTGCAAGTAATCTTATTTATATTTCATAATAAAATATTATATGCCTACCAGTCACTGATTCTGATCTGGAATGCTCCTCACTGTCTGAATCTTCTAGCAAATCATCACTAAAGTCAAGAAGATTAGAGATATTAAGCCAAGAAAACAATTTCATACAATATACCTACTTCTAAACATAAATTTTAGCATTAAAACCTGTTAATATACCAGCATATTATATATACTATGAAAAAAATAAATTAGTGATGTAAGCTACTGAAGAGTCCAATGATGATTATACTTAGTTTAAATCCATTCTGTGATTTAACCTACATAATCCTCTAATTCAGAAGCAAGTAGCCTGTATTTGCTTTAGGAGATCTATGGGAAAGAATTTGTTGAGGATTACAAGTTAATCATAAGGAGGGCCAATTGACCTTATAATCTCATACTAGTGACATCATCAGGACATATATTGTTTTTTAGAAATCAAGAGAAAACATACTGCAAATAGTGTCAATCATGTAGTTTCTGGCTCTTGGTGAAAAGCAAGCATTTTATTAATTCAAACATTAGGAAAAATACGTACTAGCTACAACTATTATAGTGATTAGAATGCAGTATTGCAGGCTAACTCTGCCCACTGCCAAGAGTTCGATCCTGACCGTCTGACCGTCTGAAGATCGATTCAGTCTTCTATCCTACCAAGGTCGATAAAATGAGGACCCAGATTGAGGACAATATGCTGACTGTAAACAGCTTAGAGAGTGCTGTAAAGCACTATGAAGCAATATATTAAATCTAAGTGCTATTGCTACAAAAACAAAATAAGCCAAGAGATATTAGTGCAAAAATTTCTTTTTAGAGCAACTATTCTGTGTAAAAAGAAACTCTTCATACTAGATGAAATGTAACTTTTATTGGTCCACATTCCCAAAATTAATATATTGTGAAAACAAAATTATCTTCTCTTAGAAGTAACTAAACATTGATAGTTTTACCTCAGTACACCACGACTAGTGTCCTCTTCCAAAGAAATAAGCAACTCACATTCAATCAAATATTTATTAGCATACCTGTCTCCTTCTAATTTTGGTATATCTGAACAGCTAGATGAATCTTCTATCCATGTTATTGTTGGTCTTCTTGAATCAACCCCTGAGCTCTGTTCCCCAGACAATACCAGTTGCTGTACAATTACTGGATCATAAGCATTGATCTCAAACTTTAAGTGCACCTATGCAAATTTAAAAACATAATTAAACTTAGATGCAAATTTTTATTCATATAATTAGCATTACAACTCCAGACGACAAGATACCTTCATAAGTTTTGAAATATCCCATATACAGATCTTTCCTCGTTTTGTTGCAGCAGCTAAAAAATGAGGACAACTTCCAGATCCAAAGCAGACTATTCTGTCTGTGCCATCTGTACAAGGAAATTGTGCTGGACTTGTTGCCAGCGTGACTGAGAGGGGCACGTTCTGCGTGTGTTCACCTTTCACAAATGGGCAGTTTGGGGAATGTCTTTCATGTTCAGACCTTAATGAATTAGAAAGATAAGTGTTAAAATGTAACAGCACTACTTTTTTCTCATTAGTAATTTTGCTGCAGATAAGCTAAGGTGTTTGGCTAATTACCAAATAAGCACTAACCTGGGTAAGGTAAGAGATAAAGTGTAATTTCCAAAGTTCCTGTGAGCAAAACCCTATTCATAGCCACTTTTGCAGAGAAGGAACAAAGGTAATTTTTGATCATTACTCCCCTACTAAACCTATCTGTAACTCCAAACAATCTTATCTGGAGAGCTAAGATGTCCCTCTAGAACTCTATTGTCACTGACACAGGTAGCTGTACTTCCCCCATCTTATCTTTCATAGTATGGATCCAGAAAGCACTAAGGAACTCATTCACTTTTAATTTTTATCTGAATGCATGTAAAATTCGTGATTTTGAAGAAAAATGTTTACCTAAAGGTTCACATAACATGTATTCATACCATTATGGATTTATTGTACTTGTTAAAATTCACAATCCAGCATTTTGAGATTTTATTCACAATTAAAAAATGCATAAAAATGCTCATTTTAGGGAAAGGACAACAATATTAGGCAGAAAGTGTACATAGATGAGTGATCAGAAAAATAGATACTTTCTATCAATATTTTTCTCTCAAATTTGTGAATTGGTGTGTAAATAACTTAATACCAACTTACAATTTGGAAAATAAGAAAGGGAGTATTGATGTACTCAGTTATCCTAAGTTCCAGAACAATAATGGGAAATCATTGGTTCTGAAATTGTTATGATTTGCTTACAAGCATTATTTAAGAATGATGATTAGGGATATTGGCTGTTTCTTCATTCTTCTCTAAAGACATCATTATTCAATCTAATTTTTAAAATACTCTTATGTTCTTTTTAAATAAGACTTAAGACTCCCCAAATGGAAATTATGTCCAATACCGAACATTCAAAAACATTTTATTTAATATTTAAATATTAAATTCTAAAATAATTCTGTCAGAAAATACTATGCTACATTTTGAGATTTTTAATTATTTAAATATTGTAATCAAACTTGAACCTAAGTATGTCAAAAAAAGGTCTAAATTAATAGATCTAACCCAATTTCTAAGGGTTAGAAATTGTTCTTACATATAGAATAGAAAGCAATGCAGATAGGTTTCAAATATTACATTCTCACCAAGGTTCATCTGTTGGCTCCCAGCATACCAAACATACACTACACGTAAAACACATGGCTCTGTCATCTCCTGATGATGCAGGCTATGGGAGAAGTGAGAGCAACAAATGAAATATTAAATGTGAAATACAGTATTCCATATATACAAATACCCATAGCAGAGAAATTATCTTCACCTACTATCTCAACACACACATAAAAAAAGGAAAGAAAAAATGTCTTCTGGATAAATGCCAGAAAACATACATGTTCATGTTCCTCATGAACATGCATAGGTCACATGAGGAAATAATTTATTTGCTAAAAGCAACAAGCTATTTTGGAAGAGTTGGAAAGCTGTTTAGGGATAAGGGGTGCTTCCCCCCACCCACGTTTGTATGCATTAGGGTTTTTTTTTAAAAAAAGCAGTATGATAAAACAGTTTTTGAGGAGTTTTCTTGCCACTGCCATCTTCTGGGATGTTTTCCACTTTGCAGTCTTTGCAGTCTAGTCTATAGCTTGGAGTCCTTCTAATCAAGTGTTGGTAAGGCCCACTCCTATTTAATTACTGAGGTTACACAGAGGATGCCATTTACTGAGACTAAACACGGCATCATTAATATGCTTGTTAAGTGGCTTATTTCTTATTTCAGGGTCAAATATGGGATACAATATTTCAAACTTAAACTCCACCTCATGCAAAGACAATTATGTAGTTGTTTCCCATCTTCAATCCTGTAAGTTGCCTTGCAAATGGATTCAAAACTATATTTTATAAACATTTGACCAGAATTGTAGCATTTTTAAAATTAATATTTGTGATATTTATTTTGCCCTCAGGGCAAACTTTATTTTTGAAAAACTGAACATGTGACTCCTTTAAAGGATTAAAGGCAGTCAGGACCAACAGAAAACTATCAAATGTATTTTCATAAGACAAAGTATTTGAATATACAGCACTAAGAATAATATGTTGCTATGATTTCAGTTAGAAATCTGTTTATTTACCTGATGGTAGAACCCAGCTTGAGCCATGGGATCTGGCTGTGCCCACCTATAACCTACATGAGGCCATGAAGTGAAGGTTTCCCGTCTGTTAGCCTCACTATACATTAAAGACCTTGGAAGAAGAAAAAAAGAGTTACAAATTTAAAACAGTTCAAAGGCTCCCTGGCTGTTATTAATTCTCCAATCTTAAGTGACCATTGTCCCTTCCAGAAAATGGGAAATTATTTACTGTTTGCACCCTGCTCATAAAATCACAACTTAAATAATCACCCGTATTTCTCTTCCTCCATCTGCTGAATTTCTTACTCATACTGTAATGTTCCCTCGTAGAATCTGTATTCCACCATAGATACATGCTCACAATTAAGGGTTAATTCCCAGAATAGTGATTGCTTCCCATTCCTCACATAAAAAATTAACGTGTGAATTCATAGGTATGTATGATGACAATAATGGCAATGCAACATCCACTCTGCAAAAATTAAAAAATGCCACAGCAATCTTTTTCTTGTATCTCTGCATGCTTATGAATTCTGGCTTTTCCCTTCATGAATTATTTCAAAAAACAGGAATGGATAAACCATAAGCCATGTGCTTCCCTACAATTAGTTTCTTGCAGAGAATACATTACCAAAACTAGCAGCACACAGATGTGTATCTACTCACTGAGTTCAACAAGAACCTCCCCCCCAGCTTTTAATCTTCACATTGGTTTTACATAGCTAAAAACATATTTAAATTACCTGCAAATACAATACTAATTATGTTCTCCTGTATGGATGTAATTGCTTTCCACAAACTAAACAAATAAACAGAACAGCATAGTGCCTGGTCTTCACAAGTTTTTCTGCATTAAGTAACTTGAGTATCTAAGATGTGCTATGATTAACTATACAAGATGACCCAGAAATAAGTCTAAAACCATTCTAACTCTAATCATGAAACTAAAACAGGAAGACTATCAATCATCAGACAAATTGCCAGTCTCAAATGTCAGACATGCTGGAAATTTTGAAAACTGTATCCTGGATGCAAAATGGCTTGACAAGGAAGCACAACCATTTACAATATATCAATATTCTAGGAAGAATGCTCCCTGCTACCCAAATTACTTTAGCATTTTTCTTTCTGCACAGCTGGATGCTGCATATGCAACATTCTGCATGTTTATTTTTAAAGAAACATGTGGAGTCCAAGTGAAATTGAGGTACCTGTAGAAATAAATATGATTCTGTAGAGTGGGGCTTTACTTACAGGTATCACGAAACCTATCCAAAGGGATAACATCACAACTAACACCACAATATATAGTTCTTGCCCGTATGTAGTTTATATAGCCTCCTATAGTGACTCTTACATAAACCATGTGATGCTGACTATACACAGAAAACTTACAATTCTAAAAAGCAACCTACCGTTTCTCTGCCTTCTGCCTCTTTGTACTCATCTGGAGGAATTGTCCCACATAGCATTGAAAACAGCCAATCTGTCACCCCCAATAACCTTATGCTATTGCTTCAGATCAGACTAAAAATACACATGCAAATGAAACAAACTGTAAAACAGCTTTTTGAAAATGTAAATTAACTTCTCCATACCTATCCACTGATCGGCCAGGCCCCACGCCAAGTTCCGGTCGTGCACTGGGCAAGAGGTAAGATAATCTATCCATAACAGATGAAGCTACAGGTAAGGCAGCAATGTTTTGATTTATTTTCTTGAGTTCACTTACAATGGCACTGGCAACAGACTTCAATACATGGTGAGGGAGATGGAACGTAACAGTTGCCCACTAAAAAAAAATAAATTAAATTAAATTAAATTTGAGTTATTGAGTACAAGACCTCAGCTTCCAAAACACAAGGGAATGTATTTTTAGGATACAAACACAATAAAAAGACAAAAAGGCTAATGAGTATAAAAGATCTTTAAAAATAAGTATGGCACGCCAGCATCTTTGAGATATTTTGCTTTGAAACAGAGCAAACACAGTACACCTCTGGCCCACCAGATGTTGGTGACGTATTGTTCCCTGCAGCCCAGCCCAACACAGCTAGTGTAAGAAGTTGCACATACTCAAGCCTACAAATATAAACATAAAAACTAGATTTATGTTTGTTCTGAAAACAGTTCACTCAAAAAGAATAACTGTATAAAATATTTCAAAGATTTCCCTTTCAGTCTTTTGCTTACTATGAAGGGACTAATGTCCAATGTTAAGACAGAAGCAATGGCTAAAAAAATACGTGCATCCTCTCTCTGTATGATAAACACATGATGGTAACTAAACACAAAGTGTCCAACTTTTCCTTCCCAACCATTATATGGCATATTCATGTTCAAGCCTTGACTAGCAGATTCATTGCAAGGGGAAACAACTATTAAAAATCAAATATAGAATAGCAACAGCAAGGAACATAACCCTGTGGCATTAAAAACAGTGATAAGATTTCTTACCTTTGCAACTTTGTGGTTCGCTGCTGTTTCATGTGAGGTATTTTTTAATCCATCTTTCAATTGTGCAAGAAACAAATCATATCCTTCTGTGCTTGACACATCTATCTTCTCTATGCAAGCAGACAACAGTTGCTGGGCCTGAAATGCAAAAAGTGAATTTCTGCAGTAGGTGCAAAACCCAATAATTTTATTATTAGTAATAAATTAATCAAACAATTAAGCCAAATGGTCATCAGATTTGTATTCATCCATGCTTTTAAAATGTTGTTCCATGGTGAGCCATTATATTTCTTGTATTCTGTATTGATATGCATCCCAAAGTAACATTTGTGGTAAATTACAAGCTTAAAAAGCTTAAAACAAGATTCCACGATCAACAACAAAGGCGTTCCTATTTGATTGAATTTCATCCAATTGTTATCATCCAGGCACAACTGGCAAAATGCTAGTGTGCACACATAATACTATTTCCTAGTTAATTATTCTTATTCAAGTTAAATGGATCTCCATGATTTGATTCTCTCAAAATATACCAATAGCTAAAATTAATTAAAATACTTGCAAACAAGAAAAAAGGATATTAATTAGTGATATATATGTAGGCCTATGAATATATTCTCCAGTCTCTCTATAGCTGACTTTAAACAGAGATAAAAACGTATTTCATTATGACTCTCCTGTTACGTAAATCTTATTAATCAAGGAAGGTGATCCAGGAAATACATTTCAAGCTTTTTTAAAAGACAATCATCATCAACTTGAAATCAGTCTGAAAACAAACTGGGAGCCAATGGATTATTTAGGTTACATGTATCCTGAACTTTACCACCAATCAGCCTAATTATCAATTCTTTTGATCAGATTCCAGGCTACTTCATAGTACGATTACTCAGAGATCCCGCATATGATGAAAATCAGACTCTGCACATGATAAATACATGCAAATGAGGAAGCGGCGAAGTCTTTTTTCCCGGCATAGTACCAGTATTATAATAAAAATACATATATTCATATTAGGAAAAAGTTAAAGGAGAATTAGATCTGGTGTGTGGGGTTCCTGCAGAAGTCGTGATAGAAATACTACTAATCACTTACCTCTGTCACTGGCAATTCCAGCTGAACTATGTCATCTTGTTTAGAAACAGGAGTTTGCAGAGCTGTGTCCAACAACAAGATGCCATTTAGATCCTTCCTACATCCAACTGCATAATCATCCACAAAGATGACTTTATCCACTGCAGAAATGTACTGACATTTCACTCGACCACCTGGCTTAGCTGTAAAATGTAAAAAGCAAAACAATAAAATAAAGAGATTTTAATTCAAATCAAGAAAGCATATTCATCGAATCCTGCGGAAATATATTACAATCTCCTCTTACTGATTATAGAAGGGAAAGCCTATCATGGCAGGAGACTATGCATGATTTCTGAGAAGATTTTAATGAAGTTCCTGCTGCCTAAACATTTACATTTGAAGATCAATGAATGGTACTCTAACTTTTAATACTGTAGCCCCCCCTCCAGGTATAGAGGTAGTTATTTTCCTTATTTTAATACACTTTATTCTGAGAAATAACTAAATGAAGCTGAAAAAGCCAAAAAGCTTAATTTTTTAACAATATTAATCTAATTTTTTATAGAAGAAATGTCTATAGCTACAGACAAGTATGTCTCAACAATCCAAAAACCTATTCTGTATAACTTTGATAAATATATCTTCCAAACATCCAATTCATAACTTAGTGACATGAGATTTACAGTGTTTAGTACTTATAGTAGTACTGTTTTAATACTAAATAAATTGACCAAATTGTTCAATTTTTGATGAAAAATAATCTGAACAAAAGACAGATTATGCATTCTGAAAAGGAAAACCATGCACACACCTGTGACAAATACTGAACATTATCAATAGTAAAAGAAAATACATTATTTATACACAAGTCTAAAAACCAAAAGACTGAGTTCTAGTCCTGCCTTTGTTCAACAGCCATGTATGCCCCTTTGCCCCTGCACTCCCCAGCCCGCCATCGTAGCCGATCTTTGGTGTCCTCTTGCTCCCACTGTTGACCACGTATGCCCAGCTTGACATGAGGAAGATGGCCTCACATAGTGCCTTGTGAAGGGCCAGGGCTGGTACATCTCAGCAGCAGCAGCAGGAAGATGGTGAAAATCAGCTGAGGTTGGAGAATGCAGCTGGCAGGGGCCACAGAGTATAAAGCAGGGATGTTAAATTGCTGGCCCGAAGACCGGATGCGTCATACTGAAACCACGCCCACCCCATTGCCGGCAATGGAAAAAAAGTCATGATATCTCGTGACACGTCACATGACGTTGCGAGTTTGACACCCCTGGTTCAATATAGAGCAATGAATGCAGCCGGGCTGGGTTTTCTGAGGCAGAAGTTTCATGGTGCGGTGCTGGTTGGTGGCTTCACATTGTGTCTCTGGGACTTTCTGGGTGTGACTTCATGCTGAGGTGCCAGGTAGCAGTTTTACACAGCACCACTGGTGGGGCTTCTAGAGAAGGTGACTATGCACTGTAGTGCTGGGCAGAGACTTTGTGCTGCACTGCGGGGGCTTTCTGAAACAGCTGCTTTGCGTGGTGCTGCTGGGTCCTCGTACTGCAAAAGATTTGGTGCTGCACTGTGCCTCAGGGGCTTCTTATAGCTTCAGAGCTTCAGCAGACCAAAAAGCCAGTGATCAATAGTGTGGCAACCAGCCTCTGAGGCATGAGATTCTGGTGCTATTTGCCCTGCAAGGCAGAGTGCAGTGTCCAAAAGAGCCGAGATGGGGAAAGGGAAGATAGATGGCTTGGGCGAGTTAAAGAAGAGGTATTACCTTACCAAGGCTCAAGGGAAGGAGGGACCAAGTCTAGAGGTATGAGTTGGATTGGGATGGATACTAACTTAACGGTCCATGATTCTTGGTTAATAATGGCAATGGGGATTGCCAGGATTACCATCACTAAGTAATGCTGTCATGTGATGTTGTGCTTTATGACTGCATTATTTAGTAATGGAAATTCCAACCCCAACTGTGGTTCTAAATAAGGACTACCTATAGGCAACTTTAATTTCTACAGTTTTGTTGCTGTTTAAGACACTGGTGCTTTTAACAGACATGATCTGGCTATCAGTCCTGGAGCCCCATAGTAAAAAGCACAATCACTGGTCCCTTCTTTGCTTTTTTTCCTGATGGCACAGAGTTTGACTGATCTGATTTGCATAGTTTCTCCTGTGCCGGATTCCGAGGAGGCTGTTGGGAGAGGGTGATATGGGGGAAAACAGACTATAGGTTCCCCATTCCATTTCTTCTCTGCCTTAACTCTTCCAGTAATGCCTATTATTACACAATGCTGTTGTAGCTCTTCCAGGATATTTGGGTTGCCTTGCCTCATAAGTTCGTCTCTTAGGTCCTCGGCCAGCCCTCTCTTAACTGGTCAATCAAGGGTAAGTCATTCCATCCTACATCGCCAGCAAGTAATTTAATGTTCAAAATATATGACCTTATTCTGACTCTGCTTCAGCTCCCAGATCTTTCAACTTGTATGGGATTGCCAAAGCTTCAGGTTTGCATATGAGGTCCTGGTAATTGTCCAATATCAGATGGTTCCCTCAATGAATGAGTTGCTGCTTCCTTCAGCAAACTTAATCAAAAAATAATTTTGGTGTGATCAGTGGAAAACCCTACTGGTCTGCCTGCCATACACATTTCACACTGAGTAGTGAATGTCCAGAATTGATCCTGATTCTGGCAAGCTCCTAAGGGAATGCAGAAGCATTGTCTGAGATGCAATTTGTTGAACTGCCCCGGGTTGGGGCAAATTCTGCCCCAGCAGTTGCATTAGTTTTATTATAGCATTCTGCAAATCGATCATCTGCACATCTAGTAGCTGTTGGTGTTGCAACAATGCTACTGTCAGATGCTTGGTAGATAGCAGAATTTCTTTATGATCAGAGGACATTCCTGAAATTCCTCTGCTTGGAAGTGACTTGCAAGATTGATGTCAGTCTTATCAGGTAGACCAGACAGGAAACACAACCAGATAAGCTAACTTTATTATAAAGTAATAACAGAATGTCAGGCCCAGCTCAAGAACGACATAGAGCAATCCAGCCAAAGTTCAGTTCTTTATTTGCTTATACCCAACAGACAGAATCTTGCTGGATTAAACCTTTACTACTCTCACACTAACATATATACGTTGGGACATTCTAGGAATTAGCTACTGTATTCTGTTCCCTGTCTCTTATTCAGCTCCAGGCTGTGTTCCTCTTTGTCTTGCCCCCTTCCCTTCTAACACGTAAATATATTCAGGGGGAATTTCTTAATAAAGCTTTTTAAAGATATATTACCATCCTGTCTGTCTTAGAATTCTTGTTCTTTGATATCTATCCTGCAAATTCTAAATGAAGTGTCAAAGCACAGAGTAATACCAATGCAGCTATAACCTGCTCTTATATTTATTTGCATACAGGTAGTCCTTGACTTACAACCATTCATTTAGTAATCGTTCATAATTACAACGGCACTAAAAAAAGTGACTTATGACTGTTTTTCACACAACTGTTGCAGAATCTCCATGCTCATGTGAACAAAATTTCGACTCTTGGCAACTGGCTCATATGACAGTCGCAATGTTCTGGAGTTGTGTGATCACCTTTTGCAAAGTCATTGGGGAAGCCAGATTCACTTAACAACCATATTACTAACTGAATAACTGCAGTGATTCACTTAATAACTGTGACAAGAAAAGACATAAAATGAGGTAAAACTCACTTAACCACTGTCTTAACAACAGAGATTTTGGGCTCAATTGTGGTCATAAGTTAAGGACTTCCTATATACCCCATTCCAAGATATCCTCAAAGAGAATGGGAAAGAACCCCAATTCAGCTGAGGGAAATAGCAAGAAGGAAAACTGAAGTAAAATCGTAAGCACATCACAGACACATAATTTTCAGTTTGCCCCAGCTTCACTTAACCCTGAGTTGCTTTAATTAATTGCAGTCTCTAAACAAAGGCTACTTATATATATTATTTGGCTCTGACTCTGAGGCTGAATTGGTGAACCTAGTTCATTTCAGGAGACAAAAGGCTATAGGCAACCTATGAGGGATGCGACAGGGATGTTCTAATTTACCCCAGCAGCTAAAAAGAGTGAATCAGCAGAGATCAGCATGGCTCCTTGAGATGAGAGGATATTAACTCTTTCAATTAAGCAGAGCCAAACTACATAATAGCTCCATAACCCCTTCCCTTGTAGGAAACAATTCTCCACTACTAGGTCTTCAATCACTGCTTCTCCTTCCTAGTTTCATTTTCACTCTGCAACCCAAACATACAGTTGGTTGATAACTGCAGGAAAATGTGAATAACTTTAGATCAAATCAAATCAAATCGTTTATTACAGCTATAAGACCGGACACAGTAAAATATCCAATAGTATGTTTGTGTGTGTGTGTATCACGGTATACACAATAATATTGTAAAATCTAAAGATAAACAACATGTATAATAAAATAAAATTATTAAGTATTCAAATGGCTAGTTAATGATGCAACATATTATGCTGAAAGTGGCACAAAGCTGGGCAATTTGGGAGGAAATTTTTGAGTCCTTGTCTAAATGCAGTGCAAGTTGTCGACTTACGAACACAATCGAGCCCCAAATACCCATTACTAGGCAAAATAGTTAAGTGAATTTTGCCCTGTTTTACAACCTTTCCTTCTACTGTTGTTAAGTGAATCACAGTTGTTAAGTTAGTCACAATGTAGGAGATGACCAGGCTGAGCCCGCAGGAGGGGTCAAGTGCACCATCAGTCTTAAGTCCCTTCATGCCCACAAGCGATCTAAGTCCAGCTCAACTCTGCAACCGAGAACTGAGCTATGGATTCAATCCATAGCTCGGTTCTGCAAGACTTCTGCAGCCGAGGACCGAGTATGGATTCAATCCATAGCTCGGTCCTCGGCTGCAGAGGCCTTCTGGAGAGGTCTGACTGCAAAATGCAGGCCAGAATGCAGCTGCAGAATGAAACTGCTCCTTCAGCCACAGAAGAAATGGACCTTCTGGGTGGAGCCGTCGGTGCCAGAGGTGAGTAAGACATCCCCCGTAAATAAGACCTGGTCCTTCTTTTGGAAGAAAACAAAAAAGACCCGGTCTTATTTTCGGGGAAACACAGGTAGTTCTTTCTCTGCCTGATCTACCCCTCTCAATTCTTATATTACCTGCTAATTGATTTATGACCAAGCCAGTAAAATCACTAGAAATGT